CAGCTTAAATAAAGACATCCATCGTCTCACATAATGGAGAAGTCTAGAGGCAGGACTAGGTCAGGCTGGAACGTAAGCTCCATGATGTCATGCTCCAGGCATCCCAAAGCCTCTCACAACCACATCCAATGGCAGAAAAAAACAGCCTTTCTGCTCTAGATCCTTTAATGAGGAAGGGCAAGCTTTCTCAGAAGTCCCCCAGCAGATTCAGCATCAGACTGTACTGGTCATACTTGGATCACATATCCACAACCTAAAAAGTTAGGAAAATGTGTCTGGTATTTTCAGCCTCTAATTATGACACATCTTTGATAAAATTTTAATAATCCTTCCCAACTACAGAAATTTAGTTTTACTATTTGGCCACCTAAGTTCAAACTAAGGTCTTAGAAATAATCAAACTTGATTAATGGTTGTTTTGTTTTGTTTTTTTCTCTTCTACAAACCACATTTATTTATTTTAGGGCTAGTTTGAGGGCTAACATTTCTAAAGTACTTTCAAATCATTAACTGTAGGCATTTACATTATTTTCCAAAAATTAATAGCAATGGTTTATCCACAAAAGAGGATCTCAAAGCAAATTCTAAGGCTGAAATTAGAACAAAAGCATATCTAGTACAGGCTCCTCACATCCTCTCTAGAACAATCTACCAATTCTGATTCTGTTTTTCTCAGAGTAACTTTTTCATATGCTCCTTTATTAACATAAATTAAGTGGTATGACGAAGTCTCTAACCTAGAGTTAATAAAATGTGTTTCTACTTCCAGAGCAAAAATAGATGACTGGTCAGCTTGAACTTTCTATAATGTTAACCATCTGCCAAACAATTCAGAACCCTCCTAGGAAAAGTCATGATCCTCCACACACTAATTAAGTGAGCCAATGCTGTAATCATACTTGAGATAACTAATCTATTTCAATCCTTATAATTTAATTATCTAAGTCTAGGAAATGAACTCCAACTTTAGTCCAAAATGATTAGAGGATTAAAGTCTAAAACCACTAAGTGCAAACTGAAATAGATCCACTAGGATGAAGTTCAAAATGGTTTTGTTCTTCTATTTAAAAGTCTGTTTATTATCACAAATTTAAGAAATAAAATGCTGAGAGACTAAAAAGCTGGTACTAAAATGTTGATACTAAAATGGTTTTCTAAACCAGCTGTAACTAACAGTAGCAGCTCTTATCATTCTATTACGTGAATTCATGCCTGGTGGATTTAAAATTTCCTAATAGGGTGGTCTTCCCTGAGTATCCTATATAAAACAGCTACACCATCTCCACTGACCCTGCTTTGTTTTTCTCCATCATGTTTCACCTCCTATTGCATATGCGTTTCTGTGTTTCTGTCTGTCTTCCCCACTAGAATGGTGTTACATAGGACGCAGTCATAGACGATCTTGGTGCTCCCTTCTCCAGCACCAAGAATAGGGCTTGACACATAGACACTAAACAAAGTGTATTGAGTGAACAAATGAATGTCTTAGAAATGAAGGCTTACAAATAAGAAACCTTGTCATGCTGGTGTAATGATTCCAACAGCAAGAACAATAAACAAATCACAAGGAAATATTTTCTTAAAAGCAACAGCTACTACTACCAATTGCTACAAGAGGCAGCTACCAGTTATAAAACATCTATTATGCTCTAAGCATGAAAAATATAAATGGTTTAATTTAATTCCGGTAACTAGCTAAGAGGTAGGTATGACTCCCATTTAACGGATGAGAAAATTGAAAATCAGAGAGGAAAAATTAGATGCCTAAGATGAAAAAGAGGACAAATAAGCAAATCCAGAACACGAAAACTCTTGACTCCCAAACCCCTATGTTAATTTGTGATATCTAAGTACCATTAAGGGAGGAAAGCAATTAGTATCACAATAGCAGGATACAGAGACCAACAATATAAAGAGCTGGAAAAAGCACAGGGCCCACAGTGATTTCTACAACTGAAGTTTGGGCTGCCAAAACATGAGATATGTTTAAAAATTAAACATTCCCAATTTTTTTTTCCCAAAAGAAATAACCTCACAGTCACTGACTATTCTGGTAGATAAACGGAGTTAAAGTATGAATAACTTATATTCTTGTAACCTGGCCTTAGGTTGACGTATCCAGTGAAAACTTCAGCATGTTAAACTATTTTTCTCTAATCCAGTTCTATTACAATTTAGCCAAAACTATTCTCTACTGTCTTTCTACCGATTTCTTCCTCATTAGCTTCCATTTTATATTTTTCAACCAATCCATTTATGTACAATTTTTATATGACTGGTCAAGCTCATCTGTTGTTCCATGAAATAAATGCAACTGATTCTGTGCCAGTAATGGTTTCTTAGACATTTAGTCATTACTTCCAGCCACATATTTCATGTTTCTGTGGAAAATTGGCAGCCATGTAGAGGTTTAATGCTCCTTTCAATACCAAAATTTATAATTTGTTACAAGGTCATTTTATCCATAGAGAAACTCACATTAAAGATATGTCTTTCAGCTACAAACATGTGTCTTGATTAATGTGGTTAGAGTAAAATCACATTCTCACTTTTCTACAACACAAATATTATCCCTATTTATAAATGACATTAGAAATCAATAAACATCTTAACTCACTAACAAGGTAAAGTGTCTTAATGTGAAGAAACCAATCACAGGGTTTCTTAGCAATGTGACTGGCTAAAAAACAAAACAACAACAACAAAAAAAAACAGTTTAAAAGTTTTAAGATGGAAAATATTTTTAAATTAAACAAACATTATAATACTCATGACTTGACTTGTACATTCGAAAGCCCTCTGATTGTGGCTGCCCTCAAACTTAAGCACTTCATTAGACAAATACGTTGTCATCCATACTACAACATGTCTCAGCAGTATTTTTCAACTTGACAGTTTTACTTACTGTCTTAGAAGCAGTATTAATGTACTGCATCACCATTTCTTTTTTGATACTGAAGTCCTTTTCCCGCAATGGTGCCTTTTTATCTTCATTTAAATTCATATCTTCCTGGAAAACACAATTAAAAAGCCTCATTTTAGAATCTAAGCAGAGCAGCAATTCTGTATACACTGTGAACAGAAAATCAGTAATTTGTAACTAAAGTAACATTAATTGTTTTAGAATGATTTACATGTAGTTCTGCCTTAAGGAAGGAAAGAAAAGAGTTGGGGAAACAGAAGAAAATATACAGATCATTTTAGCACATAAAATACTGTTATAGATTGAATTGTGTCCCAAAAAAATATGTGTTGAAATCCTAACCCCTGTACCTGTAAATATGACCCTGTTAGGAAATAGGGGGGTTTCTTTTGTTATGTTAATGAGGTAATAACAGAGTTTAGGGTAGAGTCTAAACCTAATCACTTCTGAGCTATAAAAGGACCAGAACAGACACTGAGACACATATATGGAGGAGACAGATGCTAAGGAATGCCAAGGAACACCACAGGGCTACTGATAAGAACCTTCCCTCTAGAGCCACACTCTAAATTCGAGCTTCTAACTGTGAGAAAGTAAACTGCTATTGTTTAAAGCCACTTACTTGGGGTATTTGTGTCACAGCAGCACTTTGTAACTGAGACAAACACTTAGAGAAAAGCCTTTCTAAATTCACAGCAGGCTAGTAAAATCACATTTACATCACTATAAATAATTAGACAGTTGAAGACTTCCACTCCTTATAAGATCTTTAGATTCATGATTTATATATGTGTGTGTGTGTGTGTGTGTGTGTATATTTTTAACAGCTCCACCTGAAGCTATCTTGCACCATTTTGAAAGTGTTGCTCTGTGTACTATAAAAATTAAAAAGTAAATAAAGCAACCACTCTCTAGATTCTGATAGCTATAAACACATACCATCATCAAAGGCAAAGCATTTTATAGTTTTAATTGTCTTTTTCCCACATCTATCAAAAATATTCATTCACTAGTTAATTTAATGAATATTCCAAGTCACATAAAATCTGGGCACACAGAATGAGGTACTACATAAAAATTTAACATTTCTCCATTGCACCAACCAAATAAGGGTCCAAGTAACGTAGAACTTGCTACAGTACCAATTCTGACTAAAAATATGTCAGGTATATCCACACAAACATATGAAATGCTATCAAAATCTATCAACCAAGCTGCTTAAGCATGAGGCTGTACTGACAAAGGAAAGAAAGCCTGAGGTAAAACAGCAATGGCTGAAGGAGAATGGGGACTGAAATGGATTTCCTCCTGATCTTAGCCCTGGGTCATTTGTAATATGCAAAGTAAAACCTTCAAATGGATAAACTCCATACCTACTCAGAAACAGATCCATAAAAATCAGAACTGTGGAGCACCTACAGTGCCCAGAAAGTTAAATTTCCTCCAAGTTTTAAAAGGGTGCTATATTCATCAAACATGGTAGTTTACGTCCTTAGCTCACTCAGTTTTGGGCTACGAAAGCTTACAACAATTTAAAAATAAAAAATCCCTTCCCTTCACCTTGGTATAAATATTTAAGATCTTGGAAGTTGTTCCATTTGACACTACAATAAAAGGTAGCAATTAATAATTGTCATTCTTGCTGTTCAGTTAGAAATATCCTATTATGCGAATAATGGTTTGTTTTCTCCCCCACCCCCACCCCCCACCCCAAGCTAGTGATTCTCAATAGGCCATAACATTACCTAGGTAGCATTTTGGAAACTTCGGAAATTTCTGGAAGTATTTTGGTTATCACTATGATGGAGGTAATGCGACCAGCATTTACAGGGGGCCAGGTATGTGAGGCATTCTGCCACACATGGGCTAGTCCTGCACAATGAAGAACGGCCTTGTAGCCCACAGAGATTCACATACCTAACAACAGACTCTAATATAATAGTATTAGATGTAAAATTAAATTAATATATAAAATGGTACAGCCTAAATATTTTGTATTAATGGTTTTAATATTCATTGGATTTTCCAGAAATCCAACTACTCTGTTAATTGATGTTGTTGTTGCTGGATGCAGTCAAGCTGTTCCCTGACTCATGGAGACCCCATGCACAACCATTGTGATCCATAGGGTTTTCACTGGCTAATTTTCAGAAGTAGATCACCAGACCTTTCTTCCTAGATCATCTTAGCCTGGAAGCTCCGCTGAAACCTGTTTAGCATCATAACAACACGTGAGCCTCCACTGACAGAAGGGTGGCAGCTGCGCTTGAAGTGCATTGGGCAGGAATTGAACCCAAGTCAAGTCATGGACCATGGAAGGTTATGAATTCTACCACTGAACTAGTTACACTGTGCTTTTTTTTTTTTATTTTTTTAAGGTTAACCACCAGCTGTACTCTAATTCTGAACTTCAGGTATTCCAGGGCAGTACTGCTTGTGGTATCTGACTCACCAGAACGGGTGGGGTTGTTTTTTTTTTTTTTAAGTTTACATTTGCTCAAAATTATCATAACGTAAACCCTTTGTCTTAGGTCAGGCGATTTCGATGCATGTGATTTATGGAGCAAGTGCTCTCAGGGTAAAGAGAGGAAGGAAGGGAAGCAAGACAGCACAGGGAAAAGATACACACAAAAATGGGGTCTCAGCTGGATTCTCACTTCAGCCTGAATTGCATCGTAGTCAGCTCCACCTTGAGGCAGAGGCCAGCCTTGACACCTTCCAGTGAGTCAGTCATTGGCTGCAGGACCCCAGTTCTACTGAGGGCAAATTTCTGGAGACAGGGGCAGCTCTGAGCCATCAGAGGCCAAAGCTCACTTCACCTGGGGGGTGGATGCACCAGCCTGGTAAAGGGGATCTGGAAAGGGCACCAACAACATTCACTGCACCACTTGAAAATAAGTTGCTTTTTATTAAAATAAAGCATCTTTCTAAATAGAATGGAATAAATACAGAAGCCCACATATAAATCCTAAACAAGCAATATAAACTGTTGCATAGAAACCAATTCTTCCATGCAGACATAGGTTAGGACACCTACTACACTGCACAGGTTCAAAATGACACTGCAGCTATAGGTTTTAAAACAGCCCTGAAATGGCAGTTTACTTCAATATATCAATATATTGATACATATATATGTAGTTCATCGAATGGTTAAGCAATCAGCTGCTAACCAAAAGGTTGGCGGTTCAAACTCACACAGTGGCTCCGTGGGAAAAAGACCTGGTGATCTTCTCCCATAAAGAATACAGCCTACAAAACCCTATGGAGCAGTTCTACTCTGTCACATGGGGTGCTATGAGGCGAAATGTCTCACAGGGCATCTAACAGCATCAGTTCACTGAAAGCCTACTATAGATAAAAACACGGAGCAAGGAAATACATAAACCAAAACCTTTGCCGTCGAGTTAATTCTGACTCATAGCAACCCCACAGGACAGAGCAGAACTACCCCATAGAGTTTCCAAGGAGTAGATGGCAGATTCGAACTGCCGACCTTTTGGTTAGTAGCCAAACACTTAACTACTATGCCACCAGGGCTCCAAGGAAATACATAGGACACATAAATGTATAATACATGATGAGTAATTAAAAAGAACCTAAAATTTCAGTGGATATATGAGACAAATGTCTACTCTGAATGGAAAAATCTTATCAGATGGCTTTCATTTTAGTTATGTAGTGCTGCTATAACAGAAATACAAGTGGATAGCTTTAACAAACAAAAATTTATCTTCTCACAGTTTAGGAGGCTAGAAGTTTGAATTCAAAGCCCTGGCTCTAGGGGAATGGTTTCTCGGCTCTGGAGAAAGGTCCTTGTCTCTTCAGCTTCTGCTTCCTGGTTCCTTGAAGATCTCCACGTGTCTTAGCATCTATCTTACCGTATCTCTGCTTTGCTAGCTTGATTAATTCTTTTATATATCACAAGAGATTGACTCAAGATACACTCTATACTAATCCTGCCTCATTAACCTAACAAAGACAACCGATCCCCAAATGACACTGTAACAACAGGCATACCAAAACCCAATGCCATTGAGTCATTCCAACTCACAGCGACCCTATAGGACAGAGTAGAACTGCCCCGTAGAGTTTCCAAGAAGCACCTGGTAGATTCAAACTGCTGACCTTTTGGTTAACAGCCGCAGCTTTAAACCACTATGCCACTAGGGTTTCCAACAACAGGCACAGAGGTTAGGATTTACAACACGTAGTATTTTTTGACGAGGGAAGGAACGTAATTCAATCCATAAAAGCTTTTCAGCTGAATATATCTCATTCAAAAAAATTAAGCATTTACCAATTCAAGACTTTAGTCGCTGTCTATCTGGAAAGTATATTGTTGTTGTTCTTATTGTTAAAGTCTATTAATATGTTAGCAATATACGTTATGAATTAACTCATTCTTAGCACTGCTTTCCTCTACCTGTTTAAGACACAGTTTTGCCTGAGGAAATTGGAAGTTGCAACGTCGAAAATTAATTTTCCTTTAGTTAATTACTTTCTAATTAAAAACTACACATAAATTGAATGGCTGTGTTGTTTGACTTTGTGAGTCTGACTGGCCCTAGGGAGAGACTTCAGAAATGTAGAGAAGAAATACGGCAAATAAAATTTTTTTAATTCAATTCCTGTGAACACAACTGTGCCACCAAAAAAAAAACTAAAGTTAAGAAGACCATATAGATGTGGTGTCAAAAAGTAACAAAGAGTGCTGCAAAATAAATGGGGAAAGCATGTCAAAAGGACACAAAAGCCAGCCTGAAAGAGCTCCCAATGGCCGAAGCTGGAACAATCTGGATTGTAACCCAAAGAATAAAATACACGGGGGAGATATTTTGAGATTGTACAAGTACTTTTTTCTCCTTAATTGAAAATAGTAACTTCCCAGTGGAGGAACCTGGCGGACACCACCTTAAAGAAGTAATCAAGGTTAACAACACCACTAATAAGACGTATCGACATCACATATCCCCTGATATGATGTACTGTGAAGGATATACCACCTTTGTGGTATCCTTCCTCCAAGACACCTCAATCTAAGTCTAAGAAAAATCCAGACAAACCCAAATGGAAAGACATTCTAC